CAGGGCCAGCCAGGGCTGAGGCCCCTCTCTCTCCCTGGGCTCCTCTCCAGGCTGAGCAGCCCCAGCTCCCTCAGCCTTTCCTGGGCACTGAGCTGCTCCAGCCCTTGCTCAGCTCCAGGAGCTCCTTGCCCTGCTGTGCTGAGGATCCAGAGCTGGACACAGCAGCCAGAGGTGACCCTAGGGCTGGGCACAGGGGCAGGATCAGCCCAGAGGTGTCCCCAGGGCTGGGCACAGGGGCAGGATCCCTCCCTGACCCACTGGCAGTGCTTTTGGGAGTCCTCAGACCCTGCTGCTGGGAGCAGTGCTCCTCCCTGCTGCCCAGAGGGCAGGGATGGGCAGCAGGGGAGGGAGAAGTTGTCTCTGGGATGTCCTCACCATGGCTGGTCACTGTCCTGGCAGGGTTGGTGTGCCCAAAGACAGGGTGTAGCTCCCACACCCTGCTGATGCTGATAGGCCAGTTTGGTGCAGAAAACCTTCTCCACTGCTCCCTTCTCCCTCACAGTCACCGAATTCCAGGGTTTGGAGCTCTGTTCCCTTGACAGGAGGAGCCCCTGCTCAGCACCTGGTTCCCAAGGGAGAGTGCTCCTTCCCAGAACCCACCCAGGACATCCCCCAGCCATGGCACCACCCCAGAACCTCAGAGCTGGCACAGGGAGTGGAGCAGGGCACAGCAGGGCACCAGGGCAGGGCACAGGGGTGGGAGGTTTCCCAAGGAATTTTTATCAGCCCATGTTTTGTAGAGCAGCTTTCAAAGCCTCTGCTTGCTCCTAGTGTTTGCCAGCCTGCTGATGGGATACATTTACATTTATTTTACATTTATATCTATATTTATACCTATATTTACATTTACATTTATATTTATATTTTGTTTTAGAATTATATTTATAGTTATTTTTAAATTTATAGCTATATATTTATATTTATATATTTAGACAGCAGCATGCTTGGGCAGAGGCACAGAGCCCTGTCCTGCCATGGTCACAGAGCAGGAAGGTCATGCCTGCTCCCAGGAGGAGGCAGATGGGCAGGATTAGAAAAGCCCCCTGGGGATGGATTGGGCTTTGAGAAGTTGCTGGCAGAGGGTGCAGGAAGCAAACATCAAAGTGAAGGCTGGAGCCTTCCAGCATGAAAGGATCCTTCCCTTCTCTAGGCAGTACCCAGGATGACATTGTGCCTCAAGATTCCTGAGTCCAGGTGCCCATCCATCCATCCATCCATCCATCCATCCATCCCCAGCCATCAGTTTTTCTGCACCCTGGGGCAGATTTTGCTTCACCTTCAGCCCCAGCCACTCAGTTCATATGAGGACTAATGGTGGGAGCATCTCTGGGGAGCAGGAAGGCTGAGTGACACTCAGGGCTCATCCCTAGAGAGGAAATACCACACTGGACAGCTGGGAATGTGGGGTTGGGACTGACCCTGAGGGTCTGCAGGGCATGGCAGAGAGCTGAGCCCCTGGGGAGGAGGAAACTGGAGTCCTGGAAATCTGCTGGACCTCTCCAGGCCAAAGCCCGGCTCAAGGCCAGTCCATGAGGCTGCTGGGGGGGCTCCTTGCTGTCCTGCTCTGGGTGGTGGGGCCAAAAGCTGCCCAAGCTCCATGAGCTCAGGAGTGACAAATCACGGGATCCAGGGATGGAGTCACATCCTGCCCCAGCAGGGGCACGTTTGACACGGAGTGTGGCCAGATGGGGCCCGTGGCACGCCGCCGCTGCCCCTGATCCATCAGGGCCGGCTGACATCACTGCCTCGGGCTAATCTCCCGTCCAGCAGCAGCTTCCCGTTTCCTTTCCAACCTCTGCTCACAGGCGGCTCCTCCGCGCTCGGAGCCGGGCAGGAAGAGCGCCCAGCTGGGCTCTCGTGCGGGGCCGCAGCCCCCGCATGTTTGGCGCTGGTCCCACCGAGCCCTGAACCACTCGCTCCCCCAAAACCCCAGCGAGGGCCCCCGGGGGACTCCGAGCCCCCCGCACCCTGCCCACCCCATGGGGATGCCGGTGGCCGGTCCCTTTCCTGTTTGTGCCGCAGGAAACCCGGTAATCCTAGAAGGTTGAAGTAGGAGGAAGATTATAAGGAATGTTAAAATCAGGGCTCATTTGTGTCCTTTTTTGTCTAGGGGTATTATTAGGTGTTTTGTAACTAGGTTGATAAACCATAGTTGGAGGGCTGAGGGTCAGTTAGTGATTTATCAGTTATCCAGGGATGGTAGCAGGAGGGCTGGAAATGTTGTTGAGATGAGGATTAGTGGGATTCCTAGGAAGGATGGGCTTGAAAACTGGTCAGAGAAGCTTAAGTTCATGGTCAGGTTCAGGGGGTTGTGCTTAAGTGGTTTGTTAGAGGGGGGATTTATTGATATGAATGACTGAAGTAATTTGTTCCAGGTGAAATCACCGTGCTGGGGCTGCCGGCACCCCCCGGTCCCACCCTGCTCATTCTGGGGGTCAGGAGCTCTCCCAGAGCCAGTGCTGGATGCAGGCGGTGACAGGGACACTCCTGTGCCACATCCCGGGCTGAGGTGTCACCCGGCCCCGCAGAGCTTCCCCTGGGGCTCCCTGCAGGGCTCTCGGTGCTCAGGCTGCAGCTCCTCACTCCCACTCAGGGCTGGCTAAAAATAACCCCCGGCAGAGCCGCAGCCTGGATCCTGCAGGGAAACATCCGGGAGTGCCAAGGGATGAGGGATGAGGCTCCTTCCTGCAGGGGAAGGGTCTGCACCCCAGCACCCCTGGGCTCGAGGGATTTGCCCCATCAGAGCAGCACCCAGGAGTGATTTTCCACAATTCCCAGCTCTGCCAGAGTGGTTTTGGGGCAATTTGGGGCTGGGTTGTGCCTTTTAACAGGTGAAATAATCCCCGTGTACTGCCAGAGGTGGGAGCAGCGTGAGGAGAGGGAACACCCCTGGGTCACTGTGAGGTGCGAGCTGCACATCCCCTGCCCCTGTTTTCCACATTTTCCTTGCAGAGGTGGCTTCTGTGCAGCCAGCCCTGCTGCAAATCCCCAGATCCAGCCTGGATCCTGCAGGGAAACATCCGGGAATGCCAAGGGATGAGGCTCCTTCCCGTGGGAGAAGGGTCTGCACCCCAACACCCACAGGGCTTGGGGTGCCAGAGGGATCTGCCCTATCAGAGCAGCACCCAGGGGTGATTTTCCACAAATCCCAGCTCTGCCAGAATGGTTTTGGGGCAATTTGGGGCTGGGTTTTGTCTTTTAACAGGTGAAATAATCCCTGTGTGCTTCCAGAGGTGGGAGCACTGTGGGGAGAGGGAGCCCTGTGAGCTGCACATCCCCTGCTCCTGTTTTCCACATTTTCCTTGCAGGGGTGGCTTCTGTGCAGCCAGCCCTGCTGCAAAGCCCCACATCCAGCTGTCCCAACAGCCAGCCAGACCCTGCTGTCCCCTTCCCAGCACTCTGTGTGTGTGTGTGATGTCCCCCGAGGCAGCAGGGGACATTTGTGACCCCCCTGCTGAAGGAGGACAGCAGGCATCCATGTTGGGGTGGAGAAAAGCTCCAGGAGTGGGGGAAGCACACACAGGGCAGCTCTGGAGTGGACCCAGGGGGATGAAGCTGGGTCAGAGTGGGGGTGAACCTGCAATGATACCCCCATTTGCACTGACCTTGCTCAAACCCAGCTAGGGACAGAGCCCAGCAGCTGCCTCGGGTGTGGGGGCGAGGAGTGGGTGGAAAATCCTTCATTTGTCAGCGAATTCCCACAGCAGTGCCTGTCTAGACCAACTTCCCGTTGTCCTGTGGAAGCTGCCCCCTGCCCACGCACGCTCCCGTGGGGTGCAGAGCCCTGCATCCCTCTGTCCTGTCCTGTCCTGTCCTGCTGGGGCCATTCTGTCCCTGCTGAGGGCCACCCCAGGTGCTGGGGCTGTGTGGATGTGCCCTCCTGTCCCACTCAGAGCTCTGGGTGGGCTCTGTGCCAGCCCCCTCCCCATGCTGTGCCAGCCCCGTGAGCTCTCTCTCACACACACCAACCCCTTTATTGTGCCAGGAACCACAGCAGCAGCAAACACTGGGGGAATGGGGACACAGGAGGCCCAGGACCCCACAAACAGCAGGGGAAGGGGTCCCCAGAGCCAGCTGGGCTGGAGCCAGCCTGCAGAGGTGAGCCTGGTGCTCAGCAGAGGGCCTGGGAGGGCTCCCTGAGATGGGGAGGGGTCACACTAAGCTGGGAGGGGTGTGGAGGGCTGCAGTGGGTCCAGCCTGACCTCGGGCAGGCCAGACAGGGTCAATGCAAACCTTGTGCTGCTGCAAAGCCTGGGCAGGACCCTGACAGACCCCCCTCTTCTGGGCCTTTGAGGGTCATAGAGAGGCAGAGACATATCCAGGTGCCAGGAAAGCCCTTGAACACCCACTGCCCTCTCTGTCTCCTGCAGGGACATCTCTATGGGCACAGGGACCACCAGGGTGCCCACCCTGCCTCTTCCCAGCCCCTGTGGCTGCACAGATCCCACAGGACATTTCCCAGTGCCTGGGTAGGGAGAGGGGTCAACGATGAAGGACTTGGAGAGCAGATCTGACTCTGGGAAAGCAGGGACAGCCCAGATTCCCAGCTGTGCCCCCTGGGTGCCAAGCCTGGGTGCCGAGGGGGCTCCCTGTGCTCAGGGCTCAGGCCTCGTGGTCGCTGGTGCTCAGGTGCTCCTCGGGCAGGCCGGTCTCGTCGATGTTCTCCAGGGNCCTGTCCCTTCCAGGCATGACGCTGCCCCGGCTGTGCTGGGTCCTGTCCCTCAGCCAGGCTCTGCCTTCCTTGGGGCTAAACTGAGGAAAACAGGCTGAAATATTCATACTGATTATGGGAATCACAGGCTGGCATTTGGGGGGCTGGGTGGGTGAAACTTTGGGAAGATCAACACCTTTGTGCTGTGGGGATGCTGAGAATGCTGCACCTCATCCCATTTCTGGTGCCTCGTGGGCAGGGGGATGTGGGGTGAACTGAGGGGCAGGATGGCAGCAGGGCTGGCATGGAACAGGGGCATCCAATGGGATTCCCTCCTGCAAGGAGCCTGAGTTTTCAGCACAGACTGACCCAGCTGCTTTTAACACAACACCTCTTGCAAGGGCTGCCCGTTGGTGCAGCTCAGCTCTTACCCAACTTTGAGGGTGTCAATGCTGGTATCTCCCTCCTGATGCTATGCTGATAACCTGTCCCTGCCCTGTGAGGGCTGAGCACTGCCTTGTTCCAGCTCCAGCTCCAGCAGCTCCTTCCCCACCCCAGCAGTGCCCCAGAGCCACTGTGGGGGTGCTGTGGGTATAAAACCCCTGCGTGCAGCTCAGGGGGAAAGGCACTCACCACAGGCTGCTGCTGCAAAGCAGAAGCTGAATTCAGCACGAGCCTGGCAAGGCTTTTGCCTTTCTTCCCTTTCCAGCAGCTGCTCCAGCAGGGAGGGAGTGACACATCCCCAGGGCAGGGGTGATCCCAGGGACCCCCCTGTGTGTGGGGTGTGGGGACTCTTGGGGTGCCAGGGGACCCTCGGGGTGTGCAGGGGATGGCACAGTCTGCCCTGCCATCTCCCTGCCTTGCAGAGGAAGCTGTTGGGCCCTGCTCTTCTTGGGAAGGCTGCTGAGGTCTGTGGTGTGGCTGGGAGGGACAGAGCACAGATCTGTCACCATCTCTGTCCTGCTGTGCTGCAGCAGTGAGCACAGGCTGGCACCTGCAGCACCTCCAGGGACAGAACCTGGCCAGGGTCAGGCTGGGAGGATCCACAGGGGCTCCAGCACGGCCAAACCTGGTGCTTAGACAGAGCTCGGGGCACAGCAGGGTGTGCTCACAGCTCTGCAATGTCCCCAGGCAGGGACACTGCACAGCCCCTGCACCATCTGCTCAGGGCTGGCACTGCCAGGGCAGCAGTTCTGCCTCCTGGGCAGGGGCAGCTC